CAGCTGACAATGTTACGGTGATCGTAGCGTTGTACTCACAAGGTATTATTGCAATGAAAAATCGCCGAACTGCCATGAAGATTTTTTTTTAATTATGATTTATTAATTTCAACATATTTCGATATCTTGCCGACTTTATATATTTAATCAAAAAATGTTTTCCCCGACGTTTATATGAACCGACAGTGACATGGGCACTAAAACTTGTACACAATGATGAACCAGTTACATCCATGGATAACAGTATATTCACTGACTGGCTATAACACAAGTTTTTCAATTTTTTTTTCCTTTTTATGATGTTCCATTTCAAACTTTATTTGACTTGATACAAAAACAAAAAATACAATGCAGTAAAATTATATAAAATTTATCAGATATAAAAATATCTTGTCTTTAATTAATTGTAGATTGACAATATTTGTTGGGAAAAACTGATTATTATGCAAATAAAAATTATGCAAATTAGATGCATTGTTATGCAAATTGGCCATGATGCTTGATATGAAGTCTGGGGAGAACACTGGATAGGTCAAAATGGCCTCGAAAAACATAATACACATGCAACAGTTTTGGAACAAAACCGACATTCTGATGAAAACAGTATGTCCTTGAAAACTGAATGTTTTTTTACAACATTTCAGTATAATGTTTTTTTCTGTTTTTTCATGTTGTAAAAACTTGACATTACATGTTAGATTTGCACTAACATGATCGCATCGCTAATATGCTAAAGTAGGACATTTGCTGTATTTACTCTATTAAAAGGGCATCTCCAATACAAGCACAAGTACAAGCTAAGTGAATTTAGCGTTAATTGTATACTGAATCATTCAAATATCAGTCATTGTCAGGTTTTTTTCTAGAGAAAAAAATGCAAGAGGGAGCACTGCAATTCAGCGGCGTCACTAAGTGGAGTTCTTGATAATTCTAAGTTAAAATGGAGCATTCTATTACTTCCCTGGGGCCAAAATTACTATCAGACAGGTCACAGTTGAAAACTGTGGCCACATTTGATCCCTGGTCAATCAGAGTTTTATGGTAGCCAGAGGATCTGCTGCCCAGGGTAACGGGACACATGTCCATGGCCATGGCATGAGGTCACTGAGCTCGTTGATTGTGACATAGAGCACACCTCTGTCGTTTACGTTCACACATTCACTACTAATAGAGGAAACACCGAAAATGATATTTGACACACATTCTGAGTTAATTTTATACCAGTATAAACAGTCGTTATGTTTATAATAGCTTAAGGAATGATAAGAAATTTCAACATTGCAACTTATTTAGTCGTTCACTATGTGTGAACAAATGTTGTGTAGTTTGCCAATGAACGAGCTATGATTTCTATGTATACAGTTCTTGGGCTGAACTATATACATGTATTTACCAGGTATTTTATGATCTTCATTTCTTTATACAGACATCGTCATTTTTGAAGTGCCATGGCTGCTCCAGGTTCACATACAAGTTTCCCGTCTTTGCTGCACATTGAAGACGTCTCACCGGAGGAGATAGCCAACTTTCTGCAGAGTTATGATGCGCACAGGTTTTCATCCAACTATGATTTGTTAAATATTGTTGTTCGTTGGGTCGAGAAAGACCTTGATACTCGATCTAAGAATGTAAGCAAACTGTTACGCTATATAGATCTGACTCAGATCTCCGCTATTGATTTAGTTCGGTGCGTACAGTCACTTCGTTGGTTAGTCAATGATATAGACAGCTACAACTACGTTCTTCATGCGCTAAATTTCCATGCAGCACCACGTCGCCAGCCAGTCTCGCCGCAGTTAGCAATCCTGCCAGATGAAGACCAAACTGAGGTTTTAGTGGCAGTCGGTGGTCTTCAGCAACACAACGGGATGATGCAACTCCGTGTAAAAAGTGCAATGTTTCTGGAACCCAGTCAACAACAGTGGACTGAACTATCCCCTCTACCTGAATTTGTTTACAGCCATTCCGTAGCAGTTCTAAATGGTTATCTTTTTGTCGCGGGTGGAAGCAATCATGATGTACATCATCCAGTGAATCAACAAATATCACGACGTGTTCATCGCTACGATACAAGATCTGCTAAATGGGTCATGTCTAAACCAATGCTGGAGAAGAGGGCTTTCTTTACTTTAAGCGCTTTAGGAGATAAACTGTACGCTGTGGGTGGCCTGAATCATTCAAGTCCTGTTTATGACAGAATTTCGATTGAAGAAATTGCCGAGAGTAACATCAAACCACAAACGATTCTGGCCAGCCCCACAGCGGAATGCTACGACCCAAAGTCTGATAAATGGGAATTGGTTGAGAAACTGTCAGAGCCGTCAATGCTTCATTCAAGCATTGTTCATGATGGCAAGCTGTACATGAGTGGAGGTTGCTCTTCATTTGATTTACAAAAAGTGGAGGGCGATGTTGCTGTTCTCATGACCGTGATGAACTCTGATTTTTGCCGCGAGTTCTCAGACTCGCTTAGCTGCTATGATCCAAACATTGGTGTCTGGGAGAAAAGGGAACCCATGACAACAAAACGAGCTGGACATAAAATGTGTTGGCTATCAGGTAAAATATTTGTCCTCGGAGGTAAAAATAACGAGTTTGATATGATATCCTCTATTGAATGCTATAGCCCGGATGCGGATCAGTGGAATAAACTGTCGGCTGTTCTTCCTTCGCCCATGGTCTGGTGCGGCACTGCGTGTCTAGATGAAAATATCTTTATTGTAGGTGGCAGTAAGAAACTATCTGAACTGGGTGAATACCAGGATGTAAATCTGGTCCAGTGTTTTGTCACCAAGGAGAGTTCTTGGTACACCGTTGCTAAGCTACCAGTTGGATATTCTGGGGCTGAATGCTGTAGTCTAAAGTTACCCCAAAATAGACCAATAAGACAAGAGTTCTCTCCAATTGAAGGTGAGTTATTCATTAATTTTAATTGATATCAAAAATTGCTGTCATTAGTCAAACGTAAATTTTTATTACTGTAAACGCATAAATTATTTTTAATTAAGTGAAATTTGCTAAAATTAAATCCATGTGAACATGTAGAATAACAATAGAACTCATTGTTTCTCATATCTGTGAAATTAAAATTCTGTGCGATTGCTCAAAACATCAAAATAGTGAAATTAAATTTCAGTGAAAATAAATAGTTTTACAGTATGTGCGGCATATCTACTAATTTGCATAAAAAGTACAGTATAAGGTCATAGGTCAGAGTTACTAAATTTAATAATGTTGAATCATAATCATGTGTAATTTGTATTATTGTAAATTGTTTTGTGAAATCTAGCCGCATGTTGACAGCAGTCTGGAGATGTTTTATGTATTCTGAAAGTGAAAGTATTTGCTTTATTTTCTGTTCCTAGAATAGATAGTTTCGTAGTGATTTCTGTGAACAATAAGCTCAATAGGTTTTTCTCCTATACTCAGAAATACCCTACACCTGTTTTTGGATAGATAAAATAAAGATATTTGTATGCTAGCCAGCATGTCATGAAGGTCATCACTTTTATTGACCACTTTCCCCAAGGAATCGCATCGTTTTTAGCACCTGTTATTGTCTTTCACTGTACTTTGAGTTTAACTTGATATTCTGGTCTCATATTAGATAGTTATTACAAGGATATCTCAACGTATGTATGAATACAGTGTTGTGATTGTATTAACCTACACATAGCAGAGTTCACTTCAATACCATACTGCATGATTACTCTCTATACATTCTTCTCATGATTAATATATTATTACATCTTTGCCTGTTTTTAACCATAATTTAGTTGGAAAAAAGTCAAAATTGCAAAATTTATTATTGTTTGTATTCAGTGACAGAATTCTATTTCAGTTGTGCGCTAATTTGTTGCTGCATCTAATGTAAACAAACAAATATTATTGAATGTGATATTAAATATAACGCACAATGAAGAATTCAAGAAAGACTACATAGAGGTTATAAACTGCAGGGGAGGGTGTTTGGTAGTGGATACATTTATACGACCTCATTGGGGAAAATAATCATATTTGGCTGGAGATTACCCGACTCAAATATGCTGTTTTTTTAAAAAGCGC